CCTACTGGTAACTCTTCTTAAGCTTTTACATGAAATCACTTAATTATTTTGGTGCACGGTTCTGTGAATTAATTTGAGAGGAGAAAGGAGGGGGAGCACCTATGTCAAAGCATCAGACTTGGCTCTGGGCTCTGAGTTGCACTTGGGTTAATATCCTCTTGATTCTCTGTCTTAGTGGCACCAAGTTGGCCTGCACTTCGTGTAGCTTTGTTACCTCTGTGGGAGACGCCATGGCCAAGCACTTAGTGTTCAACCCCTCACACAGATCCAGCAGCATCCTGCCCCGGGGTAAGTCAGAGGGACGAGGCCAGTCAGGCAAGGGCAGAGAGGTGGGGCCCACGGCTGTGGGTCAGGCCCCTCCCTGTCCTCTGCCATCAGCCAGGAGCATACATTGCCTGGACAGGCAGCACCATCTAACCCCAGGTTTCTGTGGAGGGCTCAGCGGGATGCTCACTGTGGCGTGCATGTGTGTTTTGGTATCTAGAAGGCTCTTTCTTCACCAGCTAACATTCCCTTATCTCCTTCTCCATAGGACTCACTTGGCTCTCTCACTCAAGGTAACAGCTCCTCACTTGATGAGTTCCTGTTTTGCAATGTTTACATGACTACTACCTTCAACTCCCTTTCTCACTGAGCTTTCTTGTCTGCTTGTTCCCCACTTCCACCTTGCAGGCTTGGCCAGATACGCGACCGCATGCATGACCGGAACTTGAAGAACATGTACCCTCCTACTTCCTTACCCCCTAACAAAGCCGCCACTGTGAAATCTGCGGGGGCCACCCCAGCTGAGCCTGAAGAGCTCCCGCCTCCAGTGACCCAGGCACTGCCATCACCAGCCTCCACGGCGACCCCCCCGCCCACCCCTACTAACCCACAGCCTTTAGTACTTCCACCCTTGGCTACGGAGGGGACCGAATGTCCGAATGTTGACAACCAGGAAGAAGGGAGCCTGGCTACCCAGGAACCTGAGCCTGCATCTGGTGGCGGTAGCAGTGGGATGGGCAAGAAGGAGCAGCTCTCAGTGAAGAAGCTTCGAGTGGTACTGTTTGCCCTGTGCTGTAATACGGAACAGGCAGCCGAACACTTCCGGAATCCCCAGCGGCGGATCCGGCGCTGGCTGCGACGCTTCCAGGCCTCACAGGGGGAAAATCTGGAGGGCAAATACCTGAGCTTTGAGGCAGAGGAGAAACTGGCCGAGTGGGTGCTGACCCAGCGGGAGCAGCAGCTGCCCGTAAATGAGGAGACCTTGTTTCAGAAGGCCACCAAGATAGGACGTTCTCTCGAGGGCGGGTTTAAGATCTCCTATGAGTGGGCTGTACGCTTCATGTTGCGCCACCACCTGACTCCCCACGCCCGGCGGGCCGTGGCCCACACCCTCCCTAAGGATGTGGCAGAGAACGCCGGGCTCTTCATAGAGTTTGTGCAGCGGCAGATTCACAACCAAGACTTACCCTTGTCCATGATCGTGGCTATCGATGAGATCTCCTTGTTCCTGGACACGGAGGTGCTGAGCAGCGATGACAGAAAGGAAAACGCCCTGCAGACGGTGGGCACAGGGGAGCCTTGGTGTGACGTAGTGCTGGCCATTCTAGCCGACGGCACTGTCCTTCCCACCCTGGTTTTCTACCGAGGACAGATGGATCAGCCTGCCAACGTGCCGGACTCCATACTGCTGGAGGCAAAGGAGAGCGGCTACAGCGACGACGAGATCATGGAGCTGTGGTCCACCCGCGTGTGGCAGAAGCACACGGCATGCCAGCGCAGCAAAGGCATGCTCGTCATGGACTGCCACCGCACACACCTATCAGAGGAGGTGTTGGCCATGCTTAGCGCCTCCAGCACTCTGCCCGCAGTGGTCCCGGCAGGCTGCAGCTCCAAAATCCAGCCTTTAGACGTATGCATCAAGCGAACTGTCAAGAACTTCCTGCACAAAAAGTGGAAGGAGCAGGCTCGGGAAATGGCAGACACTGCGTGTGATTCTGACGTGCTGCTCCAGCTGGTGCTGGCGTGGCTGGGTGAGGTGCTGGGCGTCATTGGGGACTGCCCTGAGCTGGTGCAGCGGTCCTTCCTGGTGGCCAGTGTGCTGCCAGGCCCCGACGGCAACGTCAGCTCCCCGGCGAGGAACGCCGACATGCAGGAGGAGCTTATCGCCTCCTTGGAGGAGCAGCTGAAGCTGAGCGGTGAACAGTCAGAGGAGCCGTCTGCCTCCACACCCCGGCCCAGGGCCTCTCCGGAAGAGACAGTTGATCCTGAGAGCCTGCACCAGCTGTTTGAGGGTGAAAGTGAGACCGAGTCTTTCTATGGCTTTGAAGAAGCTGACCTCGATCTGATGGAGATTTGAGTGTGGGGTCCTGTGGGCATGTGGAGTTGGGGTGGGAAGTGAAGGGGGCGGTGGGACCCCAGGGAAGGGGCATACCAGGTGGGCTATTTGGTTTATATTTTTTAATTTTACACCACCACTCCCCAATATTGACTTACAACGTCCCTGTGAATTTGTGGATTATTAGGAAAACCAATAGTGATCACGTCTGAGCCGAGGAACTGGCCCGTTGGTCATTCAGTTCTGCTCAAAACAGGTTTTTGTGACTTTTTTTTAAAATTTAAATCACTGTGTTTGGTATTTTTCTGACAAAATCAAGGAAAAGGAAAAAAAAAAAAAAAACTCCTTTGTGGGCGAATGTTCAATTGTTCTGTTATCCCCTTACCTCAGCTGTATCATAGAACTTCCTGGAGTTTGTTTTACTGTGTGGCCAATGTCTTTGGGCATGATGCTATCTAACCATTGTCAATGTGAGAACATTTCTGAAGATGAGAAAGAAAAATATGTAGCGGAAAAACTTGGTGTATTATATATGGATAAAAACTTTTTTCATTGTGGTCTTAACACTTTTATATAAAAATGAAAATGGAAAAAACATCCCACTGAACTCTCTCTCTTCCTTCTCCTTTTCTTTCCTTCCCTTTCCAGAGATGTTGGTTTCTACAGCAACTCTAGATATAAGATTGTGGCTTTAAAAATGCATGAAACCATCTCTAATCATCCAGATGAGTAGATCTGTCTTTTCCTCACTACGCTCCTTCCGACAAAAGCAGTATTCTTTGCACTCGTCCCCCCCCCCCCCCATCCTTACCCCCTCCGTCACTCTGGACAAAGGATCACACATGTGTCACTAGCGAGCAGGAGGTACCGAGGTGATGAGAACGGTAGGGTGCCAGCCAAGCCCAGTCTGAGTCTTCATCTTGCAAGCCCGTGGCAGCCCCGGCCTCGGTGAGCTTCACTCTGGGAAGTGGACAGCAGGCCTGTTCAGGAGGTCGCAAGGCCCACAGCCAGGAGCTAATCACGCAAGGATAAAGTACCTAGCTGTAAGGAGAGCAAGCCCACTGGTGGAAATGCAGCTCGTTCCGGGGCTTCCTCCGTCTCTCTCAGCACTAAGAGGACAGACGCAAGGGTGTGCACACGGAGAAAGACAGGAACCTTTATTTTTCACTGCCAGCTTTGAGGAAAAAATTTTCTTCTACAAGTTGCATGAGGGATTTTTTTTTTTTTAATTTTATGTACTCGTGGGTATAAACCAAAACTTACTGTACCAGAGAAAAGGAACAAAGCCCACACCCCTGTCCCACAGCCATGCTACCATGGTGTCCGTCCTGTGGCAGCAGCATCTCCTTCCTGTGGGCTGAGGCCGCTGCCTGCAGGAGCTTCTCAGTACATCAAGTCTAAGTGTACATAAACAGAAGTTAATAAGAGGAGCAGTACTGGATTTTTGCCTAGGTAGCCCTGTTCAGTGTAGGCTTTCAGACTGGGAGATACTCCGGAGGGGATGGGCCTGGTGTGACCCTTGGTACCAGCCACTGGTCTCCTTCCAGCACACTATCATATAGTGAACTGAGCATGGCCAGCGAGGTGCACCTGGGGCACCTGAAGACCACCATGGACCCACCAGGCTTCTCTGTTCCTCAGCTTTTTGCCTGATGCCGTTATTGACTGTGGACTTTCAAGTCAACACTTTGCCTGTGAGAAAGTTCAAGAACTATGATGGGTCACTTCTGTCTACAACAGCTCAATTCTCCGGTAGTGTCTGCGGCAGCCACAGCTAGAGCCGAGCTGGGTTCCTGGCCCCTGCACACTGACTGTTGATGGGCAGCTTAGAAAAAAAAAAAAACCTTATTGGAGCTGGGTTTCTGCCAGGGAGCTGACTTTGCGGACTCGCCTGCATGGCTTAGTAGTAGAAGAGAGGGTTTTTTGTTTTGTTTTTGTTTTTTTTTATAATTCAGTTTAATCAATAAACACGTATTTATTGACTACTCTTCTGTGTTTAGACTGGATTTGTGGGAATTTCAAGTTAAAACTCATCTTCCTCCTGCTTAAATGTACAGGTTTGTCATCACAGTGCAGACGGACGGATGGTGTGCTGTCACTTCTCTTACCCGACTCGGTTCCTATAATGCTTTGAGTTCTAATGCTTCAACTTAAGACGGTTTGGATGAGAAACACATCTGAATCACTTAGGGCACTGTCATCAGACTCCCGGTGGACACCCTTCCAGGGCCGCTGCCCGCGCTCTCCCCTTCCTCGCTTTCCCCAGGTACAGGAAATAAAAGAGATTGGAGGCAGTTGTCTCATCCACTCTCCCCATTCCTCGACCCTCCCCACCCTACTTGTGGTCCCATGGACATTCATCCTTCTTAACTATGTCAATATCACCGAAAATAAAATGTTACTGAAAAAAATAAACCCCTTCCAGGGATGGAACATGGCTAATGGCAGCTGGCCTCACGCACAGCTACTCTCAGGACTTTCCCACGAACGCACACTACTGGGTTTTCTTAAAGTGCCAGGAATTGGGATTTGGATAATAAACATCTGTGAGAGGTGAAGTCTCCAGACAGTAGTACCTCTTTGTGCTGAGGACCTGGGTCCTGATGAGGAAGACAACCTAGGGCAGCACCCAACAGTCATGCCCTGGTGTGACACAGTTGGGACAAAACCACTCAGCAGACATTTTAAAAGATGTGTTTATTTTACAAAAGCAAAGTTTAGCTTGAAACCATCCAAATTCAAAAGTTAAGTGTGTACATCATCAGTTCTGGATACTATGTAGTTCATTCAAAGCCACTGTAAAAGAAAGCAATATGGCTGTGAAGTAGACTAAAGCAGCTGAACCCTCCACGCAGGGCACCAGGTGGCTTCCCTGCCATCTGTACTCACCTGATCATGTGGGCAATGTCCCAGTTGGTCTCTGCAGACAATGGTCCCTCTATTTCAACACCCTTTTCAGTTACCGTGGCAATTTGAAACTGGAAAACAAGTACAGCTTCTGATGAAAAAGGGGTGGAGGCTGATGTTGAACCACAGTGGGTTAGGCAGATGATGCCACTACTTGGAATGTCAGAGTAGCAGTTCACGTCACATCTGCGCCACTTCCTGCTAAGCTGCCTGGGAAGGAAGCGAGAGGGTGGCCAATTATGAGGGTCCATGTGGGAGACTCGTGGACTTGGACACTCCGTGGAGTTGCAGGCTCCTAGCTTCAACCTCACCTAACCCAGCCAGGAAGGCCGTCTGCGGGAATGAGCCAGCAGACAGAAGACCTGTGCGTGAGTCCGCATCCTTCCTCCTCCTCACCCTCTCCATCACTCTGGTCAAAGGACAAGGGACCTTTCCCCAGTCCAGCCACCCTACAAGAGCAGTCAGAAGGGGAGCCATCTGCTCTTGAAGGCGCATTGCCTGCCCACTGGCCCTGCTCACTCACCCTGTTGTAGGACCGCGCATCCCGGTAGTACAGCACTCGCATGCAGCGTTCCACCAGCTCCCGGGCCTCAGCCTGGCTCAGGACCGGCTGCTTCTCCAGAACCTCTCGCAGCAGAGGCTAAGTGGGAGAACCACACAGGGGCGTCAAGCACCGTGCACGAATGATGAGACATCTGGCCACTGCCAGAGAGTGGCTTACTGAGCTTCAGGATCCAGAAGGGGGAAGTTCCAGGGCGTCCCCTTGCTGCGCTTTCCTAGGAAAGCTGCAGGGTGCTGGCACCCCGAGCCCAGAATCTGTCAGGTCTGCACCCCTCAGCCCCACCTGTCTCCCGAGAGTCAGGGTGCTAACACCAAAGAAAACCAGCCGCCCAGCAGGCGGGTTCACGGCCAATTCTAACACGCGCAGTCTCCCCTCCCCGTTCATGTGCACATCCACCACCTTACCTGAGCCAGGTAGGCGCCATAGCCTGTGGCCAGCGAAGGGGCCTCATAGGCCACACCGAGCATGTCCACATAACCGAGGAAGCTAACGGAACACAACGATTCAAGGCAGTTAATTGGGGTTCCCGACTGAAGAGCGGGGCCACGGGGTCTGGGCGAGAGGCAGGATTTACTCAGGGAGGAGAAGCAAGGCACATGAAGAAAGCCTGGGGGGGGGGGGAGCGGGGAAAACGCTATTTCTACGACCTCTCTCCGCCGGCATAGCCTCCAATGACCATGGTGTTCCACAAGGGGTTCATCTTGGAGCGCCGGCTGTACATGGCCCTGGTCAGCCACGAATGAATGGCTCGGGGGCTGTAGCTGTGGCCGTCCCCCAACAGCTCCTCGTCGATCCTGCAGAGACGCGGGGCAGAGGCGGGATGGGAGGCGGAACCTGCACCCACCCCCGTGGGACGTCGCCCCCGCCAAGGCGCAGGCCTGCCCACGCTGCCCGCTGCTTACACCATCTGGCCGAGCACCTGCTTGAGGTACTGGAAATCCGCGTAGTCTCCCGAGGCGCCCAGCATGGTGCTGTCGTTGACTCGCATGATCCGAGAGATGTTGCGGAAACGCGCCAGCGAGCCGTACGAGCCCAGCATGTCTGCCGCAATCACCACGCCGCCCTCAAACTTGACGCCCAGGACCGAGGTCCCGGTCACCATGGGGTTCCTGCAGGGCGAAGAGCGTCCAGCCACCGCGGTAGCAAACGGGGAAAAAACAAAACAGAACCGACGCCCCTCGCCGAGCCCGGCTCCGTCCACACCCGCCGGCGGCCCCCCAGCACTTACTGGGTCCGCGTGATCGGGCTCCCGTGGACAGCGGACACCGGGTCCAGGGAGGAACTGGGAGTGGACGGGATGCGGTAAAACTGGCCGGGAGCCGGGCCCCCGGCCCAAAATCCGGCCCGCGACTCCGAAAGCGCTTCCATCTTAGTCACGGTAGCAGGAGACGCCAGAGCGCCTGCGCGAACGGAAGCGGAAGTGATCCTTTCGGTACAACACCTTTCTCCTTCCGGCAGGCCACTCCCAGCAGGCATATTGATGAGGTCAAGCCTCGGTCCGCTCGGCGACCGGTGGAGAACTTGGAATGTTCCTACATGGCTTCCCACTGCAGTGTGGCGTTGGAGGGAGTGATGAGGCGCACGGGGCACGAGGAGGGCAGCGGCACCGGGACAGCGCACACCTTACGGGGCCGGCTTGATGGAGAAGTGAGGAGAGCCGCCGATTGCGGTTCTGGCATCCTCTATGCTGCCGGTTCGAGTCCCGCCTACTGCACTTCTGACAGCTGGGGAGATTGGCCTGAGCCCTTGGGACCCTGCACCCTCGTGGGAGACCCCGAGGACGCGCCCGGCTCCTGGCTTCGCAGCCTCCCGATGGGGCCACGTGGGGAGGGAAGCAGCAGATGGCAGGTTCTGTCACACCCTATCTGCTTTCCGTGTTTGTTTTTGTCGAATAAATCTAAAAAGAAAAAAAAAATTTTGACACAGAAATTAGTAGTTCTTACACATGTAGATAATTATCATAAAGGCCGCCCAGATTGTCACTGAACCCAGCATCCTTTCTCTCTCTCCCTCTCCCTCTCTCTTTTAAATATTTATGTATTATTATTACAAAGTCAGATAGACAGACAGGAGGAGAAACAGAGAGGAAGATCTTCCATCCGATGATTCACTCCCCAAGCGGCTGCAAACGGCCGGAGCTGCACTAATTGAAGCCAGGAACCAGGAACTTCCTCCAGGTCTCCCACGCAGGTGCAGAGTCCCAAAGCTTTGGGCCGTCCTTGACTGCTTTCCCAGGCCACAAGCAGGGAGCTGGATGGAAAGTGGGGCTGCCAGGATTAGAACCAGTGTCCAAAATTAGAACCCAGCACAAGAAAAGTGAGGACTTCAGCTGCTAGGCTACCATGCTGGGCCCCTTTCTCTCTGTTTAAAAATATTTGTCTATCATAAAATGATAGCAATAATAATAAAATGTAAAAAAAAAAAGAGAGAGAGAAAAAAATATTTGTCTAAGCAAGAAGAAGAAACAGAAAACTCAGAAACAATGATTTCACCCATTTTTCCCTGACCCTTGATCCTTCCCACCCTGATCAACCATGTAATCATCAAAAATTCTTAAAATTTATGGCGCAGCATGGTAGCCTAGTGGCACACACTGGGATCCCTTATGAACAACAGTTCTAATCCCAGCCAGCCCCTGTTCCTACCCAGCTCCCTGCTTGTGGCCTGGGAAAGCAGCCAAGGACGGCCCAAAGCCTTGGGACCGTGTGTGCGAGACCCGGTGGAAGCTCCTGGCTCCTGGCTTCAGATCAGTGTAGCTCCAGCTGTTGCAGCCACTTGGGGAGTGACCCAGCAGATGGAAGATCTTCCTCTCTGTCTCTCCTCCTTTCTGTATATCTGACTTTGCAATGGAAATGTATAAATCTTTAAAATAAATATTTAAAAGTAAACAAATGCTTAGAAAGCCTAGAAACAGGTGCGAACATAACAGAATCTATGTTTAAAATAACACAATAGGAAAGCGCTGCCCCACAAAGAAGGGAAGTGGAGTGACCGCCTGGACACCGCCATCAGGGGAGACGGCTTGGGCTTTTAAAAAAGTCTTTTTCTTTGTTTTTTCTCATAATCAAGAACACAGGGAGGGGCAGGGGGACCCAGGTGTCTGGGCTGATAAAGAGGAGTCTTGTTCAAGTGACTGTCTTGTCCTCTGCTGGGAGCACGGCTTGTGGCCTCCCACTCCCGAGGTCTAGACAGGGAAGTGGCAGGGAAGCTCCCTTCGCCTTGGTTGTCCTGGCAACGCCAAGGTCTTGCTTTGCAACGCCTGCCTATCCAGTGTGTGCAGGTGACAGGAACTGTGAGATGGGGTTCAGGAAGTGGGCGCCCCCTCCTCCTCCTGCAAGGCCTGGCCCAGGCCTCAGATAACCCGCTCTGCAGAACCTTAGGCTAGGCTCGCCCCATCCTCTTCCCCTTCCCCACCTTCCAGCAGCTGGAAACAGTGCCTGGAGACCAAGAAGGAGAGTTCCTCTTTCACGCTGACTCTATAGCACGGCTTGCAATAAAATTGATGGGCCTTGTTGTAGATACACCAGCGAGACAGAGCCTCTAACCTAGTTAGTAAGATGCATCTGCAACCACCAGCTGATTGGGGCGATGGACTGTACCGGGCCCGTACTTGCAAGTACACGCAAGAACCTGGTCTGGATTCACCTCAGACAAAGTTTCTTTAGGGATCCCCTCAATCGAAATGCCGGACGCAGATCCTTAACCATGAAAAGACAGAGGACAGAACAAATCAACTAACTACTCCAGCCGTATGTTGGCAGTGAAAAACTGGGCAAACGGAGACTCTAAGATGGACTATGTCAGCTGGTGGATTCTGCAGCGATTTCTTCGTGCTTGGAATGGCAAGACTGGCAGTAATTCAGAACTGTTGAACTATCAAAACCACTTGAGCCGAACCTTCAGAGCATGCCCCACATCAGGGACCTGGGGCGGGTGGGAGACTGGGTGGGGCTTCTCCCCTTACCTCCCCCTTTGCCCCAGATATAGAAAAAATGTGTGGAAATGATAGTCTTACCCACTTTTTTGCAGCCATTGAAACTTTGTGCCTTGATTAACTATGTAAAGATGGTCAAAAATATACTATCAAAAAAATGGAAAAAAAAGATGCCACCATCCCACATGGAAGTACCTGGGTTCAATACCGGCTCTGCCTCTCACTCCAGCTTTCTGCTAATGCAGGCGCTTGTGGACAGGGGTAGTGGCCCAAGTGACTGTATTTCTGCTGTCCAATGCCATCTTGAAGATGGCAGTGAGTTCCCAACTCCCAGGTGTAACATTTGGGCAAAGAAACAACAGGGAAGCACTCTCACACTTGTTTGTGTCGCCATTTCCCCACCTTCCCATCCCCTCCCCCCTCCAATCAATAAGACAAAGGTAGAGGTAGATTTTAACCGATTCCTTTGTCCTTTAAAAAAAAAAAAACACTCTGGGCCTGGTGCGATAGCGTAGTGGTTAAAGTCCTTGCCTTGCATGCACCAGGATCTTGTATGGGTGCTGGTTCTAATCCCGGTGGCCCTGCTTCCCATCCAGCTCCCTGCTTGTGGCCTGGGAAAGCAGTCAAGGACGGCCCAAAGCCTTGGGACCCTGCACCCTCATGGGAGACCCAGAAGAGCTCAAGGCTCCTGGCTTTGGATTGGCTCAGCTCCAGCCATTTGCAGCCACTTGGGGTTGTCTGTATACCTGCCTTTCCAATAAAAATAAATCTTTTTAAAAAATACTCCATTTGTGACTACTTGGTGTGGTAGGGTGTCAGACTAATGCTTTGCCTACAGTGCCAGCATCTCCTGTGGGCGCAGGTTCATGTCCTGGCTGCGCCAGTTCCCACCCAGCCTGGTAAGGCAGCAGAGGATGGCTCCCTCACGTGGTGACCTGGAAGAAGCTCCTGACTCCTGGCTTTGGATTGGCTTAGCTCTAGCTGGTGCCATTTGGGGGAGTGAACAAGCAGATGGAAAATCTTTCTCTCTGTATTTCCTCCTCTCTGTAAATTTACCTTTCCGATAAAACTAAATAAATCTTAAAAAACAAACAAGCCTGGGTGGCCTGGCTCTTGTCACCTGCCTGAGCCAGGGCCCTGGGAACGCTGTCCCCTTCAGCCAGAGGTTAAGTAGCCATGTCCCTGTTTACAAGCCTGCAGTAAACAGGTGTCTGCCTCCTGCTTCTGTCCTTACATTTGAACTGTAGCCAGTACAGGTTCCTAAGATCCAGCGAGCAAGCAAGACCCGTTGGAATCTAAACAGGGAAAATACCAAACCAGCCAGTCCTGGGCAGTCACAGCACAGTGTTGTCAGGCTGGTCAAGCCTCTGCTCTAAGGTGAGGAGTGTAGACTAGACACTCAACTCAACCAGAACCAACAGCACCCATCTCCAACAACTCGTGTTTCCACTACTCTCTTGAACGGAACTTCAGTAGGCTAAGGCTCATTTCCTGACAGGCTCAGTGTCTGGCCGGAACGAAAGGAACGCTGGGCAGCAAGCTTTTCTGACCTCGCAGAGCGCCCTCTGGTGTCGCCTGGAGGTAACGTTCCAAAGCACGGCGGCGCGCTCGCCCACATTCCACCGTGGAATTTCTCTTCATTTGTTGATCATGTTTAGATTTTTTCCCCTCCCCACTTCCAGCAGTTTCTCCTCACTGTGGAGCTCTGTGCTAACACGGAGCCATGCTGGGTCTATTCCAGAGTTCGCGGACCCCAGCGTGTTCCGGCCCCTTACACCTTCCCCCTAAAACGGCCATCAGTTGTTGGACGGGGCTGAGCCCCTAACCCCGACTGGCTCTCACGCAGGGCAACCCCTGCCCGGCTGTTGCAGCCTTCGGGCCATCTGGGGCTCCGTAGGCAACACTTTGTCACCCGTTGTGTAGTGGCGTAAATGCCATTCACAACTTGGTGCCATCTAGTTGTTTCCATGTGATGCAAACGCTATGCGACCAGCAATGTCCCACAACCCTGCGATTCGTGTTCTATAACATACAAGCATAGAAAATTACACAGTAGAAAACAAACCTACCCATCAGCGAATTTTCTAATGCATAAATTGTAACAAATTTTATTTTAAATGTTAAAAGCAAAGCCTAACTCTTCCTTCCATTATCCACACAGTCCCTTCTATGATATCTACAAAAATAATTGGATTTCCCCCCCACACACTCATTCTGTTCACTGTGATTTAGAGAGGTGTTTTTGCTTCAAAGAGAAAATACAAGTTAAACAATACACGTATGTTTTCCCAAAGGCAACACTTGGGAGCATACAGTTAACCCAGCGGTTAAGCACATCCGAACTCTGGGGTATGGCGAGGGAAGCCGCCACAGGCAGTGCCTGGGTGTCAATTCCAGCCCTGGCTGCTCCACTTCTGATCCAGCTGCCTTCTGCTGCTCCTGCGAAAGCAATGGA